TAAACTGATTGCACAGACACTATTGGAAGAGAGCTGAACTGGATGATGACATCACTGAATCATCAATGAACTGACTTTGGCTGGAAAAATGACTCTGTTATTATCTTCTTGCATTATTGACAATCTACTTTTCTGTTTATCACTGTAAAGCTGCTTTGACACAACCAGTATTGTATAAAGTACTATACAAATAAAGGTGACTTGACTTGACTTGATTACGTCATGCGTGAAGTCGAGCTAGTGCACGACTAGCATTTGTGTTTATAAAGCATATACATTTTTATGTTTTTTAGAAAATGACCGATCGTTTTGCTAGATAACACCCTTATTCCTTGTCTGGTACCGTGTAGGGCCCTTCGAAGATGCTCTGAAACTACAATTTGGACCTTCAACCGTTTGGTAACTGTTGAAGTCCACTATATGGACAAAAATCCTGGGATGTTTTCCTCAAAACCCTTAATTTCTTTTTGAATGAAGAAAGAAAGACATGAACATCTTGGATGACATTGTACTTTTTTTTTTTTTTTAGAAAAACGACCGATGGTTTGGCTAGATAACACCCTTATTCCTCGTCTGGTACTGTGTAGAGCCCTTTGAAGCTGCTCTGAAACTGCAATTTGGACCTTCAGCCGTTTGGTAACTGTTGAAGTCCACTATATGGACAAAAATCCTGGGATGTTTTCCTCAAAACCCTTAATTTCTTTTTGAATGAAGAAAGAAAGACATGAACATCTTGGATGACATGGGGGTGAGTAAATTATCAGGAAATTGTAATTAGAAAGTGAACTACTCCTTTAATAGAAAAATTGTGTAAACTTTAAATGGAACTGCAATGTAATTTATATTGGACTAAAAACCCAAAGAACAGACTTGACCTTACCTCCTCCACATGGTGAAACGACATCCAAGGATCTGTCTGGAGTGATTATAAGTGCCTGGAAAATAAAGGGAATTTGATTGTTTCTTAGATTCTGCTGTGAACGTACTCATGGTAAATTATCTCGTGATGATGATGATGATGATGATGATGATGCTTTTCTCTTCCTGTAGGTCTGGTGACTGGGTTTTCTATGAGTCCACCCACCCTTGACAACACTAAAGACCAGCTCGTGATTAACGCTAACGACACATTGACCATTACATGCAGGTACTATCAAATGATCTATCAATGGGTACTTTAAATACTAAACTCTTTCTTGAATATTTGACCATTTTCTGTCTTAAGCTACTTGAAACAGCATTTTGCTATTTTTTATAATTATTATGCATGCAGCTTATTTTAAATATGAAATATTTATACTTTTAAAAATTAATAAGTCACACCACAGAGCAATTATAAAATAGGTAAGATCAATTTTTTTATAAAAACTATGACCAGTTACAAAACCTAAATTGGACATTTTTTCTTACATTTATATGCATTATTTCTGAAAATTTTGATGTTGATTTTTTTGTCCAGGGACACATTAAACATTGACTACCCTAATGCATCTAGGTTAAATTACTTGTTGGTACCAAATGGAATTAAATGTCTAGTTAAATAAACAATCAAGACACAGATTTGCTCATTTTTGATTGAATAATCGGATAAGCTTGTCAGCTATTACAAAAACAAGGAAAATGTTGAATTTGGAAGTGATTGGATGGTTAAGGTTAGAAATATGTGTGGTATGAACATGCAGGGAGGCGATCCAACATATTTAGCTCTAATCCCTTCAAAATTTGCAGACATTTCTTGCCAAGAATTCCCAGAATAAATAGTTTTTCATCAGTTACAAACATATACCTTTGAGAGGAAAGCATATTTTTGGGCCACCGCACAGTGTGATCGATGAGCAGTATTACGCAAACTCATGGCTGGCATTCAGAAATCACTGTATTTCATAATCTGATTGAGGAACACATCAGTTTAAATGTCATTGCCTTTTCCTTTGCCATCTAAAAACCTCAATCACAGGTTTCAAGACATGCATATTATGTTTTTCAAGTGAAAACAAACTTTTTTGCAAACAATTAAGGCAAACATTACTATTATTATTTCTCAAACCCTAGAATTGAGGATTTAAACAACCACCCTCTTCTAACCTCCTCTAAGTATTACATTATGGCATGCAAGCCATCCTGCTCTACAAACTACAAACCTTAATGTCATATTGAGAGAGGTGTGCTGTTACTTTTGTAAATATTTAGACTTATGAAAAATCTGCATAGATTTACACTGAAGGAGGGGCCTAGAAGAGGAGACTTAAACTTGATCTAATCAGCGATAGTCAGTCTTGTCTATAAGGTGGACTGTTGGGGTATAAACCACTTTTTTCACTCAGAATTTACACCCTCAAGCTGTGGTTGGGTATTATGTGTATTATGTGGTTGTGTACCATGGGGCAAAGTTTTGGTGAAAAATTTGGAATGACACTGACTTTAATGTGATTATCTGACCCATTCCACCAGGGGACAGCGTATTCTGGACTGGAGCTGGCCTGAAGTGTCTTTGAGTAAAGTGGAGTTTACTGATCGCCAGGATCAGCAGTCACCCGTTGACACCCCGGGCCACAGAGCAGTCAGGGTGAAGGAGTGTCAAGGGGAGCCTGGGAAACCCTACTGCAAGACCTTAATACTGACCAACACCCAGGCCAATGACTCGGGGTACTACCGCTGCTTCTACCAGGACATCAAATACATCATCGATGGGACCACAGCAGTCAGCATTTTTGTCTTTGTGCGAGGTGAGAACTGTAAATAAACTAACTTTCTGGTCCCACTTTATATTAAGTGGCCTTAACTACTATGTACTTACATTTAAATTAATAATTTAGTACAATGCACTTATTGTGTACATATATGTTTTTACATTGTACTTATATTTGAAAAATATCTGCATGTAATTACATCTGTAATTTCTGTAATTACATTTATAGTTACACTGTTGACCCATCCCTTACACCTTAACCCACTCTTAAACCTACCCATACCACCAAACCTGTCCCTAACCTTACACGTATCTCACCTCAATAGCAGCAAAAGTGTTTTGCAATACAATATGGACACAATAAGTACATTGTACTTATTTTTTGATGTAAGTACATAGTAGTTAAGGCCACTTAATATAAAGTGGGACCAACTTTCTTACTAGAATTAAAACTTAGCTTTCTTATTACAATAAATTCTGGTTGTATTATTCGGTTTTGTTGAGCTGTGATATATATATATATATATATACAGGGATGCACAGGATGCAAACGGTGCACAGGTGTGCATGTGTGACCAAAATAAAAATTGTACTGGGTAAATAAGTTCAGACCACTCATTTGCGTACCGACACGGTTGACAACTGTTAATGCAAAATCACAGTTTTAGATTGACTTACTGTAATACAGTGTAAGATTTCCATTTGAACTGAAAACAAAAATCTAGGCTATGCGCTGCCGGTTTCAGAGCAAAATGCAAACATTTTTTGTGACATTTCATTCACTGATGAGCCTCGCTCAAAACCGGCAGCACAGATACTTACTTGCCGGCAACCTGCCTAAATAAAAGCTTGCTGATTTTAGGTTCAAAAATGTTGAAAATTCATATAAAAATAAAAAAGTAAAAATCTTTTAAATAAACAAAAGAAAATGTAAATATTATCATTTTATTTTTTAAGTGCACCATCAAATTATTGTATTTTTAATAATCACTTTTTATTTCAAAATGTAATAGTATTATCACACTTTATTTATTATTTTGTTTATTATTTTAATAAAAAAAACTTTTAAAATTATTACTATTATTATTTTTTTTAATAGTTATATTTAATGGGTCACACTATATGGAGTGTGAGCACCAAACCAAATCTCCAGGTGCTCTCATGAAACCCAGACTGAAAAACTTATGTGCAGCCCTGTTTATATAGCTGTAATATATAAAATCATGCTTTGTATCAACTTCAGTTACATTTCTGAATGGGTTACACTGTATTTTGATAGTCCACTTTAGACGTTCTACTAACTACAAATAAAGTGCTACCTCAGAATGTTTCAGGGTTAAATGTTATAGGGTTGAAGGTCAGTGGCTAATACATCCTTAACCCTAACTTGTTCTTTGTCCCAAGAATAATATATATATATATATATATATATATATATAGCTCAATCTTTAAAATAATGTAAGTTAAATAAGTAATACCAGTAGGAAGTTATGAAGACTCAAATGGTGCTTAAATGTTGTTGTTAGAATGAGCCTGCAGTTAATGTTAAAGTTAATGTTAATGTTAATGTTAAAGACAAATGCACTGCGGTTCCTCCCTGTTCTTTAGCTTATTTGTGTAAATTAACCTCGGTTTAGTTCAATATCAGTGTCTGGTCCCTTTTGTGGCATTTTCCTGAGGCAAACCAAATCACAAATCCCATTTTTATTTGACTCCCTTCAAAGAATGCTTGGCCAGGCTATCTTTGTCTAAAGTTTCTGTTTTCTTTGGGTGACAGACAAAGACATCATAAACATTTCATTCAAAACATCAGCCCTCTTCAGAAGATCAGAGAAGATTATACATGAACACGCTTAGAAGTTAGAACATGTTTGGTTTACCCTGAGACGGCCTGGGATTAGGAAAGAGCTTTTATACAGAATAAACTAAAGATAAGAACGCAATAAAGAAATTTACACAATGCCAAATCTGCTAATATCACCACTAAGGAGAAAGTACATTCACTGTTACCCTGCCACTGTCCACCTTATCATATAAGGAAGAATATTTATTTTGAGTTTGATAGCTTGAGCATTGTATCACCTCAGTAATGTGGATACGAGTTTAGCTACAGTTTAATGTACTTGTTAACATTACATTCGGATGTCAAGCCTGGATTCATAACTAAATTGGCCTTTTCAGCAAAAATCTTTTATTCAACACTCAGTCATGTCACTTGTACATTTATCTGGGAAAGGGTTTTTGAAACCAGGCCTACAAACTTTATGAAACTGCCCATATTTTTAATCTAAATACTTAAGTGGCCAACACTGAAGCCCGAAAAGAATAATTCAGGCACAATGGCAGGTTATGGTGATCAAAAGAACAAAAACAGGACATAGAAGTAGTCCCTACAATCCAGCGAAGTTCACATTTATCCTGTGTTCACATGCCAAAATAGTCTGCCGACACACCTGGACTAGCTGGAAAAGCGTGGTGATTGCTTTGTTTTGGATTAGTTGGGCATCAATGCCAAACTAGCATTGGTTCTCCTATAATAATAATTGAAGAACAACTTAAATATTTGACTGTGCATCTCACAAGACTAGTGAATGGCTTCAGAAGACTTGGGACCAGATTTACTAACAGCTTGCGCCAGCATAAAAAAACCCCTTTGGCGTTAAAAAACTACTGTCAGGATTTACTAAAGACGCATAGTGAAAAATAAGCACTGAAAAGGCATGGACACACTATTTTTACTCCTGTTTACTATTGTCCTCTTTTTAGAGCTGCTTTACAGAAAAATTGAATTTTGTTTGCATCGTTGACGAACTATTTTCCTATTTAACACTGTAAAGCTGCTTTGACAATCTGTATTGTATAAAGCGCTATACAAATAAAGGTGACTTGACTTGACATATGCATTTGTAGGAGTTTCCCTTTCAGATGCTAAATTTATAGGAGGAGAATATTTAAATGAATAACGCAACATGATTTACTAAGGTTTGCGCTAGTCATTTTACTGGTATTTGTCCCATTATTTACGGCCCAAAAAAGCATGTCTTAAAGGGGTCATATGATGCTTTTTTAAAGATCATTATTTTGTGTATTTGGTGTAACAGAATATGTTGTTCCGTTTTTTTTTTCTTAATGCTTGTATTGTTAAAGTTGTTTTTAATATAAAGCGTTTTGAGAAGCTTCTTTTAAAGGCGCTTAATTAAATAAAGTTTATTTATTTTTCTCTACTACAGAAAAGAGCAAAAACTTGCAAGTTTGCAATGATGTGTGTTGGTAAATAATGAGAGAATTTATGGTTGAAGTCTTTCTTTTATTCACAGGGGGATTGTTTATCTTTGTAACACAATCCAGCTCTGTATTTGTAACCAATTGGTTTTCGACCAGTTGATCAAAGAGTCAGCTGACTCACTCACTCGTGTGAAATGCCGGGTGATTTCTCCTGACAAGATGCCAAAACGGTTTCCACAGATCTTACCAGTGGGTTGATCAGAGCCAGGTGAAATCACAGCTATAAATTAGCAGTGAGTGTAAAGCAGAATGGCAATTGGCTGCATATGGCTTCAGTTAAATGCTTATAGTTCCCGCTGCCTCGCGTTATAGCTACATGTCACGCCCTCCAGTGCCTCCCAGTCTCTTCGGAAAGCACCCTCAAAAAAGCAATTCACCTCCTGAAGATGATTTATGGTGACGCACTGTAACTGTGAGGATTTGTATATTTTTCCTATTATGTCTGTGTATGCAGACCACCGCGGGGCAGAAACATAAACCTCAAGATACAAACCTTTTGTTTGGACTCCGAGAGCTTGGAGTGATTGCTTTAAGCCATGTGGGTAAAAATCACACTCTTTAGAATAATGGCGGCTCGAGAGATGCAGGCATCACCAGGTGATGTTCAAATAAGGGCTTAGAAACAGCGCTGTGACCTCCCACTGAAGTGAAAGCTGGAGAGGTTTGTTTTAGCGTCCTACACAAATAGATGCTGACCAAGACAAAAGGCTGCCATTAAGTGGTTTAAGGAACGGTGCTGGAGACTGTTGATAGAGTTTTGTCATAAAAATCTGCACTGTTAGATATTTCAGATGGTCCACAGACTAAATCTGGCTAAAACTGTGTATATTCAGGCAAAGAACTTGAGGTGGAATGTTAAGTCTTGGCTTTAAAGGAGTATTATGGGTTAAATACTTAAGCTTTATCAACAATGTCTGTGACAGGCTGTTGATTGGCACAGAAAATCATTTTGAAAAATGTGTGTACAGTCATACATGTACAGTGGAAGTCTAGGAGGCAAGTGTAAAGTGCCACAAACAAATGTTTAATATATGCACAATATTTTGACAGTATGACCATGATTTGGGATCATGTGGAGTATTACCATCTCCTCTATGCAAGTCTTGTGAATGCAAACGCCTCTAGCTTCACAAGCTCAGCTGGTGTCAGACCGCAATTCATAACGTGGTGCAACCTAAACACATGGTTTAATGGCACAAACATTTGAAGGAATCTCTGTCTCCCTCTTGAGTATGGATGTTTATCACCAGAACAGAGACTGCTTCCTTGTATTTGCATGCTTGTGTATGTATGACGTGTTAGAATGTAGACCACCATTGGCCGCTGAAATTATGTCGGTAACACATAACCAGAGGCTGATCCACCAACGTTACAGCTCAAATATCAAACATTTTTCCTAAATGATTCATGTAAATGTATTAAAAAACAGAAGCTTCACATTTCTGCTTTTAAAATTAGTGGTATCATCCGAAGGGACCTATTAGCAATATGTTGTACTTCCTGTAATGTTGTTGGGCTTGGTTTAAGGTAACAAAGGGACAGGTTTTACTTTAGAAAAATATAGACAACTGAACTAATGTCGGTTTTCTTCAAACATACAGACCCTCAACATCCATTCATCAAGAGAAATGAGAACGGCATGGAGGCAATCTTCATAACGGATTCTCAAACACACATTGAAGTGCCATGCCTGGTTTCAGATCCTGACCTGAAAGTCACTCTCTTTTTGGTAAGTCCTCCAACACACGTCCAACAGCAGCTCACCTGATCTCTCTGTTTCTGCAAAATGGATTAGGGGACTTATTTGTTTTTGTATTATTTTAGAGATCAAACCCAGGATAATTAGTGTTACTGTATATGCAGCATAAGTGTAACTTTAGCCCTTAGCTGACTCAAGTGACAAAGCTTCTCAAGCTAAAGGAAATGAAAACAGTAATTTAAATAAACATTGATTTTTTCCCCAGAATTTTAGCAACTTGGTTATTCTCCAGGTAATCATAGTTAATGGGCTGAGTTCACTGGGCAAAGTCTGTAGTTTTGAAATGAGGCAGAAAGCTCTGGGTCCGTTTATATTTTGTTAAAATGAACTTACTGAGACATCTCTAAATGTGCTGTAACTGATTTCAGCCTTGTACTAACTTCCACCAGTTTGTTAGCATCAACCATACACCCTCTCTCCATATCAGCCAGTCCAATGTCAGCAATTCCAGATATGAAAAAAATGTATGATAGACAGCACACCTGACTTGTTTGTTTTCTGAGTGGCTAAAAAGCGTTGGCCTAATGCCCCCCCCAAAAAATGTTGTATAATATTTCAGTATTCCATAATAATAATAATAATAATAATTTAGAGAAACTTCAGAATTGTTTTCAGTTTTTTTTCAGACTATGAAGCCATTTATGTTGTGAAAATTAGTTTAAAGTTTCCTTGCAGTGGGATCTAGAAAAATACAATGATTGCACATTTCATTGAGTTATGTAATGGAGTAAAGGAATGCATTTTCACAAGTTATTTCTCTCCAAACCCAGACAGATAGAACATTTGTGTGTAATCCTCCTCATTCATCCCTAAGGACAAGTAGTTAAATATGAAAAAATGTATATAGACTGTTACCGTCTGGTCTCATACAGTGTGTATAGAAAAGAATCACCCCCCTTTAAAATAATAAAATTTTGTTGCTTTGCAGCCTGAAATCAAGACTTATCCAACTGTATTTACTCAGTGCAACTTATAACATCCAAGTAAAAGATATAACACCAACATGTCAGAAAAAAATACAAAAAACAGAATCATTGAGTTGGAAAAAGGATCACCCCCTTGTGTTAGTATTTTGTTGAACCACCTTTAATTACAGCCTTTAGTCTGTTGGGATATGTCTCTACTGACATTGCACATCTAGACTTTGCAATATTTGCCTACTTTTCTTTGCAGAACTGCTCAAGTTCAGTTAAACTGCGTCAGTTTTGCTGTTTGCTTTGGGTCATTGTCATGTTGGAAGGTAAACCTTCTTGCCATTGACAACTTTCTGACAGAGGGCAGCAGATTTTCCTCAAGAATCTGATGGTATTTTGCCCCATCCATTTTCCTTCTATCTTAATAATTCAATTTTAGTCTCATCTGCCATCGTGACTGCATGTGGCCTTTCTTGAGGAGTGGCTTTTTTCTTGCAACCCTCCCATACAAGCCACATTTGTGGAGAATTTGTGATATTGTTGTCACATGCACACAATGACCACTCTTGGTCATAAATTCCTGCAACTGCTTCAGAGTTGCTGTAGGCCTCTTGGTTGCCTCTCTGATCAGTTTCTCTGATCTCTTTCATCCATTTTGGAGTGACGTTCTGATGCAGGGAGGGTCTGTGTTTTACCAAATACCACTTTCCACTTATTAATAATATACTTCACTGTGCTTCTAGGCATTGATATAGCCTTTGAATTTTTTTTTATCCATTTCCTGACTTGTGCCTGTCCACAAATTTATCCCGGAGATCTTTTGACAGTGCCTTGCCACCCGTATTGTTTGCTTCAGTTGCACTACCAAGGACTGACATGCTCCAGGAAAGCTCTTTTCATGCTGAGCTAATCAAAATGACCACAGCTGATCACAGTTGAAAGTCAAAGGCTTTGTGTGCCATTGAGAAGGTGATTAGCTACACCTGATAAAGTTTACAAGTCATTTTTAGGAGGGGGTTATCCTTTTTCCAACTCAGTGATTCTGTTATTTTTTATTATTTTATTATTTTTTTCTGACATGTTGGTGTTATATCTTTCACTTGGATGTTATAAGTTGCACTGAGTAAATACAGCTGGATAAAACAAATATTGTGTCCGTCTTCATTTTAGGCTGCAATACAACAAAATGTGATTATTTTAAAGGATGTGATTCTTTTCTATACCCACTGTATATAAAAGGATGTCAAGCACCTATGAGGTGATGTAAGACCAAAAAAAAAAAGTTGTTTTTTTTTAATCTAATTGCAGCATAATTTGATAATTATGGAAGCCCGTTTCCGCCACTGAATAAAAAATAAAAGAGGTAATTGCGACTTTTTATCTCACAATTCTGACTTTTTTTCTCAGAATTGCATGATATAAACTCGCAATTCTGAGAAATAAAGTCAGAACTGCTAGATATAAACTCACAATTCTGACCTTTTTTTCTCGTAATTGCGAGTTTATATCTCGCAATTTTGACTTTTTTCACAGAATTGTGAGATATAAATTCTGAGAACATATCAGTCTTTTTCCCCCCTCAAAATTGGACTTTAACTCGCAAAAAAAAAAAAAGATCACGCAATTCTGACTTTATAGCCTAACTTGCAATTGCGAGTTTATATCTCACGATTCTGAGAAAAAAAGTCAGATGGCGGAAACGGGCTTCCATAGATAACCATGATAGCCATCGTAACCATGAATTTTATTGCATGGAAAAAAGCAGCTTTAACATTTCGTTCAATAGGGAGTTTTGAGTGGCATTGGGGTGGAAAGACAACAGAATTTTCAATTTAAAGGGGACATCGGATAAAACTTTCACTTTTTTTTTGTTTGTTTTTTTGAGTTTAGATAGGTTTCTAGCATGTCTGCCAGCTCATAAAAGCTGAAAAGAAAACATGTAGCCAGTTTGTTATGCGCTGTCTGAGTCTGAAACTGTGCCATATACAGTGCCCTGTTTCAATTTGTAGCTGGTATTAGGTAGATAGCTAGCTATTTGAATAACACCACCTCCAGGCCATATGCGGAGTCCCAGGCAGCAAGAGATGGGTGGGATGAGCAGTAACTCATTATCATTTAAAGAGACATGCACGACAATTGAGGAATTTTAACCAAAGTATGTTACAGACCTTTCATGAAGACCCTAAAGAACTTCAAACTTTCAGATGATGTGTGAATTGAATGTATTGTTGTTCATACAGTTAGAGCAGGCTCCATTGCTTCTAGAAGGCAATGAGATCACCTGGAATAATAAAAGGGGCTGGTCGGTTCCCAGACACATCTTTGAGAACAGTTCCATCCTCTTCGGCTTCTTCTGCTCCACCTTAGTGCACAACAACGAGCACAGATCATCTATATATATTCTGCAGGCCATAGGTAAGTATTAATTTGAATAGCTGCCCTTCATATCATAACTGTCTAGCATTAGGTTAGCATGAAATCTTTAGATTTTTTTTTACACACATTCCTGTTCTTGAGAATCTTTCTTCAAAAAGCAATAACTTGCCTGAAGACTGTGCAGTATAATTGGTTAATGCTACCCGTAACAGTATGGTAGACACATACTGTACTGTTTTAGACGTTAATGCATTCTAAAATCTTGGCAGTTTTTAACACAGTAATTTAATAGTTAACATTATTAATGGTTATGGCTATAATAGCAAATAAAATGTCAAGATGTTGAGTAAGTTGAATTCTCTGTTTTGCAAAATACATTGAAAAAAATGGGTGATATTGCCAAGAGGGATCATTTATATTTTAGATTTAAACCATTTGGCAGACACTTATGTGCAGAACGACATGAACAACAAACATCCATCTATCAAACAATCAGTGTCAACAATCACATTCCAGTTTCCATCTTTTGATTTTAAGGTTGTGGTTAGGGGTGGGAACAGCTTTCTCAACCAGCCCTGCCCGTTGCAGTAGGTTTACGGCTGATTGGTTAATAGGAATGTTGTTTCAGAACCAACAAAGTTTGTTGATCTAGAAACATGTTTTCCTTGGTTAAACGTCATGTAGGTTATTGTGTAAGTCGCTAAATTGATTGAAGTATAATTGTCAATGCGAGACGTGGACTCAGTTTGCAGGTGCCAAAAGTCAATTGGTTATCTCATGGTGATTGCCAGAGACAATAAGACTTACGGGGGGGGTGAGGTGGGTGATAGCGGTGATAGGAGAATCATCAAGAGACCGAACAGAGATAGGAGTAGAGAGGGGGATGGCAGGAATTCCCCACTGCTCAGCCAGGCTGGTGTCCATGAAATTACCACCAGCCCCCGAATCCACGAACAGGAGTGACTGGAACCTCCAAACTGAACACTCACAGGAAGAAGGGTTCAGGAAGAGGGGGGGAAATTAAGGGGAGATGCGCCCACCAGGATCCCCCTGGCTACTGATGGGCCCTGTCTTTTAGTGGGTAGCGGTGATAGGAGAATCATCAAGAGACCGAACAGAGATAGGAGTAGAGAGGGGGATGGCAGGAATTCCCCACTGCTCAGCCAGACCCGTGTCCATGAAATTACCACCAGCCCCCGAATCCACCAGGGCTGAACAGGAGTGACTGGAACCTCCAAATTGAATGCTCACAGGAAGAAGGGTGCGGGAAGAGGGGGGGGAAATTAAGGGGAGATGCGCCCACCAGGATCCCCCTGGCTACTGATGGGCCCTGACTTTAACGGGCACTTGCTGACAAAGTGCCCTCCCACAGTAGAAGCATAAGCCCCGGACGAGTCTCTCTTGTTTCTGCTGAGGAGTGAGACGCAGGCGTCCCACCTGCATAGGTTCAGGGTCAGCAGGGAAAATCCACCCAAGCAAGACCGATACAAACTGACAGGGAGGCGGTGGCGCGGTTGAGGCGGGGAGCTGGGGGCGCACTGGCAGAGAGGCGAGGAAGTCCTGAGACAGCGGAAACAGCGATCGGAGATCGCGAGCGTGGGTAGAGCTGGAGGAGGTTAACGCTGCCTGGAAGCAGGAAGGAGAGGGACAAACAAAAACTAAAAGATGAAAACAAAACTGGCAAGATATCTGCACAGAAAAAGATCGAGACAAGATGGGGTGGGCCCAAGCAAGACCGATACAAACTGACAGGGAGGCGGTGGCGCGGTTGAGGCGGGGAGCTGGGGGCGCACTGGCGGAGAGGCGAGGAAGTGCTGAGACAGCGGAAACAGCGATCGGAGATCGCGAGCGTGGGTAGAGCTGGAGGAGGTTAACGCTGCCTGGAAGCAGGAAGGAGAGGGACAAACAAAAACTAAAAGATGAAAACAAAACTGGCAAGATATCTGCACAGCAAAAGATTGAGACAAGACGGGGTCGGAGCTAAGATTGCACGGAGTACAAAACAACGATCTGACACAAGACAGCACACACGAGGAGACTAAATAGGGAAGGAGTGATTAACAATGCTGAGCAGGTGATGGTGTGGCCAAGAAGATAACTAATGGAATAACAAGAGGGCAGGGACAGACAGAAGCACATGGTAAGTGTAAACACACGAACCCACAACCGAAAAAAGGGAAGAACACACAGATCAGCCCGGGGGCGTGACAATAATTTGATGATTTAGTGAGTAAAATTATCTATGATGTAGACTTTACATTTCATATCATACTGAAAGCAAGATTTGTCCAGATAGTAGATTTTCTTTCCATATGCTGGTTCTGGAGTTGGCGGTGATCTTCTCCCATCCTGTTGAGGGACCTCTCAGAAATACTTTATCATTGCACTGCTAAATGAGGTCATCATCCTTCTTTTTTAATCTAAAGTGAGGGTCATACAAAACATTCGCCAAGATCAATAGCCTTTTTACTCAAGAGGGGAAAATGAAAACTTTGCTTCACTTACGTGGTGCTGTAGAGCCAGCAGAGCGTTACCGTCCATACCAGCTGACCTCCTGAATAAATATTGCATTAGCATATCTAATAAAATTCACCCAATGGCTTTGTTTGCTTCTCTTGCTTTATTTGGGCCTGTTTAAACTTACAAATTACCAACAGCTCACAAAGTCATAGTTGGGTTTATTTAGATTAATGAGGTTATTACTACTCACACTGATCACACACGCACCCACACACACACACCCACACACACACACACACACACACACACAGAAAGGGCCACAGTAAAGAAGACCTTTCATTGAAACACGTCATTCAATGCCAGATCCTGTAATTTTACAATATTTTAACATTTGCTGAGAAAGTGTGATTAGTAGTGGTGTTTACTAAGGAAGACACTTGTAAACTCAATACATAACTCGTTCCGCATTGTTTGTGGTTCATACCTCAAATAATGTGGGTCAAATTATTATTTTAAATAGTAAGACTGGCATTTTCACATAGAAGATTATAAAACTGCCACAAAAAAAAAAAACATCAGCAACACTTTATTTCACAGTGTTCTTGTTACTACAGTAATAACAGTAAAGTACAATGCATAATTACAAGCAACTAACCCTAAACCAAACCTGAACCCTAACCCTATAAGTACATGCTGTTAATTAATATTACTCAGTATTTATTTGTGTAATTACACTTCAACAAGGACATCATAAAATATAGTCTAACCCAAAAATCTCACTTAAGCGGTACTGTATATCGGTACATTTAAAACCGGCCAGTGCATCTAGCAACCACATAGCAGCGCCCTGGCAACCACCCACAACACACTAGTATCATTGTGGAGACAGCAATGCTACACATACTACATCCATGGATCCAAGAACTTGAAAAGTGCTGACAAGTCCATGTTTGCAACACCCAACAGGACTGAAGTTTTACAAGCTCAAGCTGTTTCCTGAGGACTCGCCCGTGGAGCTCATGCAGGGGGAGGGTCTGGAGCTCAACTGCACAGCGCTGGTCGAGTTCAAAACTGGTGTGGAATTCCAATGGGACTACCCAGGCCAGAAGGTAATTACCAGGCCACACTGCATATTACAGTTATCAGTATAATCAACTTTTTCTGATTGAACTACGAGAAAGAACATGACCTGTCCAATTCAGAATAAATGGCCTTTATCTAATTAATTTGTGATGTATTGGGCTGTGATCAAAAATGCATCGGCTTTGGTGTGATTGCGTTGTATAGTAATTCTATCTGCGTTCTATCTGCTAATATAAGCAAACTTTCATATTCATTATTCTCCCACACTCATGTGTTTATCTGCTCACCTATCCAGTTATTATTTTCACTCTCAGTCTCAGTAGTCCAGGATTTCATTTCTGCATTAGCCTTAGTTAGTTTCCTGCATCTCTTGTGTACTGGAGTCATGCAATTCATGTTCAGGTCACATTTTGCCTAAAAAAGTATATTTTGCTTAAAGAAAATAAAGCCTATTTTTATTTTGGTTTTATTTTTTTATTATTATTATTATTATTTATTTATTTTTTTATGTATGTATGTATTTGTTTGTTTGTTTATTTTTTGCATTGTGTATAAGTACTTCTTTAGAATTGTCTATATAATGCATTAAAAATAAAATGTTAAGTCGGCATAAATATTGGCACAATGCAAAAAAAATTCAATGTTAGAAAAAATGGGCTCCAATTTCTTGTATTTTATATATTCATATCTTATATTACATATATTTATAATATATTTCTTATATTTTGCGTAGACCTCACTGTGCCAGTATAACTCACAATGATCTGTGACTGTGGTATAGTCGTTCTAGTGACCTTTCAAAATGAGGGAAAAGCTAGTTATGTGGTATTTTAATTGGTGACGTTTCAAATACCAATTGTACACAATAAGTACACAAAAGGCAGACCACTAATCAGATATTTTTTGGCATTGTGCGGACAGGAGAACAGGCTGGCGAGTTTTCAATCTGTGCGTAACATCCTGGACAAAGCCACGGAAGCCTCTAGTATCCTCACAATCCGAAACGTTCGCGTGGATGATAGCGGTTACTACACCTGCTCTGCCAGTAGTGTGGAGGTGAAACGAGAGCTTACTACTGTAGTCTTAGTTCACGGTAGGTAACAAAATAACTACGCCTGTACTACTATAAATTGAAATATTATAATATATAGTTCAATAAAGACAACTCTCGGAACATATCAGCATGGTGATGGATATGACAATGTTAATGTATTTGGTCTTGGTGGAATAGATCTGCTACGCTGCTGCTGCTGAATTGCTGCTGCTGTTGGTTATTGCTGTAGTTGTAGATTATTGCTGCTGCTGCAAGCAAGTACAGGAACTTGCTACTACCAATGCATATGGCGATACGGTGCCATGAGTATTTAAGACATACTGCTGCTGCACAAATAGCATATAAAATAACCCCGTAGCAGATCTATACAGGTGGAGCTGGGGAAGGTGGAGGGTTTCAGAGAACTCTGAAAGCGCGCTGCAGGAATCTCAAGTGAATGCTAGCCAGCCATATAAATGCAAGGCAGTAAGCTCATTGGCTGCATATGCAGCATGAACCAATCAGCTTGTGCCAAGTCGTTTAACTCTCTGAATATCATCAGTTACGTTAACACCCCGTCAGAATACGCCATCTAGAGTTTCATGACTGAATTATACATTTAAACACAAACTGTAAATTACTGCTAATGGAACAGCTCTTCTTCCATAATTCCACAGAGAAACCTTTCATCATCTTGGACTTCAGGAATGGATCAGTTATAGAGGCAAAAGAAGGACAAAAATCTGTCTGGCTGCCTGTGAAAGTGTCAGCGTACCCCTTGCCAGAAACACAATGGTAAAAAAGTCAAGCTACATGTCCAACATACATGAGCAACTTGTGAACCCTGTGTTTGCCATATAATCTGAATGTATTTTTTATATCATGTAATCGGTCATCAAATTACATCACCTTGCTCCACTTCTGAAACAGCTTTGGCTGACCACCAGGCCCTCAAATAAAGACGTTTTACCATCCAATAAATCCTTAAAGGATAAAATCAAGTGCCATCCTATATTTTTCTTCTTGATGAACGTCACATTATGGAAACAAAATGTCATGGAAACGTTTCATCTTTAAAAATAGTCATGAATGTGCATATACTTATCCAAACACTATAATGTTGTAAATCATCTATATGTGCAGGTATAAGAATGGCAAACTGATCACCAGACGGCCAGAGTTCAGCCGGTTTAGGGTCCAGCAGCATGCTTTGGAGATCAGGGAGGTGTGTAAGCAGGATGCTGGAGAATACACTCTGGTCCTGAAAAACACACGTGCAGCTCTGGAGAAAAGACTAAACTTTACTCTCATAGTCAATGGTAACTCTTTCAATGATGCTTATATGAAATATCTGCAGTTTTGTATTAGGTTGATCCATTATCAAATAGAAATCAGGGTTGCTGTACCTTGGTGGTTAAAAATCTAAGCTGCAAACCGAAAGATTATAGGTATAGTATAATGATTCATCAAGTGAGTGAAGATGAAAAATAACGCATGAAAAACCTTCTTGGATATGCATTTTTCTTTTCCTGCACTAGCATAAGGATGGCAGGTGAAAGCTAAAAAGCACTTTTACTAAATTTTAAGACATCATGGCTGTGGTCGCTTTATAGATACACTACTGGTCAAAGGTTTGGAATCATTAACATGATTCCACAGGTTTTAGAAAGAAGTCTCGTTGATACAAAATACAGTAAAAACGGTGATAATGCAAATTAATATAGCAATTTAAAAGAACTGTTTAGTTCTGATAGTAGTTCATGTTAGCTCAGGTACATTACATAATAGTAACAATTACAGATTTTAATAATGTATTAGTAATTAAAAGCGTATAGTAAATGTTGAAATTAACGTGAACTATGATTAATAACTGCTTAATTAGTAAGTTTTTATTGCTGGTTCATGTTAACTAATTTAATTCACTAATGTTGACAAATGGAAACTTATTCTAAAGTCTTATAGTGATATTTGTCTTACATTTCTTGATTTGCATGGTTAGTTCCTCCTCAGATCCATGAGAAGGAGGCAGCAACACCTACTAACCCCTACAAGAGGAGCAGTCGACAGATGCTCACCTGCACCGCCACCGGGACCCCTCCAGCCACCATCACCTGGCAGTGGAGACCGTGGAGCCCCTGCGGTCTCAAAAGCACACGCAGAACCCTGTAAGAAACCACTGGATCGACACGCCACATCTGACACGTTTTCTGAATCATGCTAAAAACCTCTGCCTGTCAAGAATTCATGTCGTAGGGCTGAGAATGTACATTTGTATTTATGCTTTTAGCGGGCGCTTTCATCCAAAGTGACTGTTGAGAGGTTAAGAGGTGCTCCAAACATCTCAGGTCTCAGGATGTTGCCGCTCTGAAGGGATTGCGCTCCCAGTGTCAACACTGGATCAATGGGAGTATAAGTTGATCTGGCGAAGCTGTCGAAATCACTATCGAATGTTGAACGCCAGCGCTTGTGGTTCACATTGAGTTCAGAGTGGATAGTTTTTGTCCCTTTTGGCGATGTGCCCACAGTCTCTTACTGGTCGGAGACGCTCTTTCCCGTGTTTTCAGAAGCCTTGTTTATTTTTGCTGCAGTAAAGGCTGAGCGGGCGGCGTGGTGGCAGCTTTTCTTCCTTGTTGACTGGAGATAAGGCAGCAGGGGAAGGTGGGGAGGTTAGGAGAGCATTAGGGATATTTATAGTGTTCAGCTTGGAGAGAGCACAGTGTGAAGGACAGAGGCCTGTCGTCTAAACAACAGGAAACACAGAGACAGAGGCATTTAAGCATCCTCTGACCCTGAAAGAGGACACCTTGGATCTTCTCTGTGATTGCGCTACGGGCAGCAGCTGAATCATTCAGACAGGTCCAGAGAGAGCCGGAGGCGAACCGCAATTCCCATCTCACAGCTGAGGCCTAGAGTCCTTGATCACACTCAGACCAGCACTCAGAGTGCATTAAATATTTATCAGCAGTTATTATTTCTTGATATCAGGCTGTGAGTTCCACTCTGAGGGTGTAGATATTAGCACCATTCCAAAACCAAGTGAGCCGCCTACCTATACAGTCTTTAAAGCAATATATGGCTAATTCACAGCTGGCATGGTGGGATTTTAATAAAAGTTGGCTATGCAGTTGGCTATGCAATCTATGCCCTAAGCAGTTTTTTTTTTTTTTTTTGGTGCTACATGACTCAAGCCAACTTTGCGTGAGTGGAAAGTTATCGTGCTTGGTGTTAAAAGGTAGGTTCGCAAATTTACAGTATGTGTAAATAACAATTCTAATTCTATGAGAATAGCAAAGTCCACACCACAACTATAACCTTAATGACACTGAGGAACGATATTGTTGGAATCGCTTATAGAATGATTTTCAAACTGACAGCCAATCAGAATCAAAATATTGAACATTTAAGGCAGCAGAAGACAACACTTCAGTGCGCACTTATAATGAACAGAACTTTATCATCTGTTGGTGTGAACAGCAATATAGATATCTTTTATCACTAATATAGTTAGCAGTGTATGTCCATAATGCATTGCTACTAGCTGAATGAATACAATCATAGAAGATTGCGAAGAGGTCAGGAGATATTATAAATATGCTGCTTTTTAAGATACCTTAAGACAGCACTGCGAGTATCCTTGACAGAAAGGGCAATCCAAGAATGCACTGCTCAGTGAAAAAAATTATCCAAGATGGCAAGACAAGTCAAAAGATATGTTTTAAATATTGTAAACAGGCTATATTTATTTTATTAAATTCCAATACAGTATATGTACCTTGGATACATATTTTTGTTCAGAGCAGTGCATTCTGGAATTGCCTTCTTTTCAAAGGAGCACACGCTAATTGGGTAAAAATAATAATTTTTAATTTGATTAAACTGTATAATTTTTTTTCTATATACTATAAGTATGTAAATA